AATAACTCCTCATGTGTGCACTGCCGCCTTAGTTCAGGTGAGCTGTTTTAGTGATGCCTTCAAACAGTCTGTCTTGTCTCCTTGCAGAAAAGAGTGGCCAGGCTCTGCCAGTGAGACTCTGCCTTGCAAACCTCAGCTGAAGAGTCTCTGAACCAAACGAGGGACCCTGTGCCTCAAACAGCAGCTCTGGGTTCATCTGCCTCACAGCTCACCGTGGCTCTCTTCAGTCTCTTTCACTTTTCCTCACGGGTCTGTAACAAAGCTGAGTTATGAACACAGTAAAGATGTACACAAAGGAGAACTAGACCATGCTTTGTAATCAACCCTCGCAAGCTTTTGTAGGTTAGCAATATGGTTCCATTTTTGACTCATCTCTAGAAATGAACTTCCTGTCTTTCTGCCAAAAAGGGTGACATGCCAGCCAGTCTGACGCAAAGTAATTTGTCCTGTTTATCTGATAGCTTTGATAAGGCATAGAGATTACTGCTCTTCCTTCATACTAAAGTACCAGTTTGTTTATATGCTTTAATCCCGACTGAGTCTTTTTATGGTGAGAGCCCAAACGTGACAATAATTTGGAGAGAAATCCTGGTTGTAAAACTGAAAAAGCACGTTAAATATGTTGCTGGTGTCTTTTCCTCCAGCTTGCACATTATCCCTAGTCCTGGCCCCTCTCAGCAGTCCTGAGATAAGCTTCGAAGAAACAAGGCCGTTGATTGACAGCTCATTAGAAGTTGCAAGAGCAGCAAAAGGGAGGCTGCTGGCAGCCGGGGCTTGCTGCTCCCCTGGCCAGGAGGCTGCTGGTCAGTGCTGGCCTGAGAGGAACAAAGACCGCGGGAGACACTGGAGGAAAACAACATGAAACATTGATAGTGAGCAAGAAAGGCCAGGTGTAATGGATCGGGGCCAAAGCCTCCCCTGCCCCCACCGCCCTGCCGCCTAGATTTACTTTCTATATATAGGTTGTGCCACACAGCACGTACATGAATCCAGGGAATCCTGACTTCTCTATGCTAGACTGAATTTATCTGCTGATCCGTTTATAAGAGAAAGGCTCCAAGTACATACAGTGTTAATATCCCTACATATTAGATATCACAGCTCCAGCCTTAGATAAGGTCACACACTGAGCCAAACTCACTCCTGCAGTGTAAACCAGGCAGAGTTTACTAGGGATGAATTTGGCTTAATGTGCCTGCCTGTAGTTCTGTTTGTTGGGTTTTTTTTTCTGTTTATCCCTCATGTAAGCGTATTTCTTACGGTTAGAAGGCTTCTACCAGGCACATACCAATCCACCTTCAACCCATGAACTGGGATGTCTTGTTTCTTTAGTTTCCCTTGAGGGCCTTTCAAGCCCCCTGACTCATACTGGAGGGCGCTTGCTCCTCAGACATCAAACCCCCTTCTATCTGTGCAGGACTGGTGACAGTCCTCCCTCAGCCCTGTGAGTGCTGAATGGCAGAGAGGCATTCATAACAAAATAATGCGAGGACAATTAGCCATTGTTCTTTGTATACAGTGTCATCTGACAATAGCTACAAGTGATATTTAACTGAAATTTTCCAATTCCAATTTTTCAATTTTTAGTTGAGATGACTTTTAGTTGAAATTTTCCAGTGGCACTTTCTTCCTCAAATTCCCTCTTTAGCATGTTGAGGAGTATTCTGTTTAACATGCAGGTAGGTGTGCTCGATGTCACATCATATTATTCTTATTCCAGTAGGTTGCCTAGTCAGATTTCTTCTGTAAGTACTCAGAAAACACAGTTATCTGTCTTATCTAGTAGTTAATGTCTAGTAGTTACCTAACTCCCAGTTATCTTCTAGTTATCTACTTTTCATGCATAGTCAAATACAAGAGCTTCAAATTTATCTTTTTTAAGCTTTCATACTAGTAGAAATACACTATGCAAGTGGATCAGCATAGCTGCGTTATGTTTGTTTTGTCGTTTTAATACATTAAATACATACAGAATCACTTTCAGGATACTCCTAAATCTGGGACACACTGAAGAAAACAGTAGACTTTGAGAGAAAATTACCAGAAGATAGATGTGGACTGCAACAACTGCTGTTAGACTGTTTATGCTTAGAAACTCACATCCTGTTGGAATTTAGGCAATGTTTCTGTTTGCATAAAGATTTTACAGATTGAGGAGAGACAGTTTTTTGTGATATGGATAAACTGAGACATTATAATGGCATGGAATTTATTGATAAAACCTAAGCCCATGACCTCCATTCTTCAGTAAGCATAGCTTAATATTAAATTCCCTTAAGTTAGTAGTGTTATGTGGGCATAAAACTGAGGTAAACATGCATCCAGAGCTGGATTTCATATTAAGAGAAGTTACCTTCCCTATAGTGTGTAATAATCCTTTACTCTTCTTTAATGTGCTTTCTCTTCAGATCTCAAAGAGTTATAAAGGTGATGCTTAAAACTGTTTCTTTATTTTAGTAATAGAAACTGTGAGTCCTGAGCCAGGCAAGGTGATTTGCCTAAGATCCCCTACAGATTCATTTCAAGCTATCTCTCACTCCTTTGTTCTGCTTTCTGCTCATGCCCGATCTAGTTTTACTTTCACTTCACTATTGGATTTACTTGTAATTCTTCAGAAAGACTTCCAAAGTTTTCCCCACTTTCCAAGTGCTATCTGCTGTAAAAACATGATAAATTAATAAGGATTGGAGCTTGCATGTGGAAATCTGCTGATGTCAGTAGAAGCTTAGGAAGGGGGATTGGGGGCTCTGAGAGAATCACCTAACACACAGCCTATGTGTGCATGTGGAGGCAAATACCCTTTCAAAAATTGCTATCGCAGCACAGCGATACACAAAAAGGCAGGAGATGTAACCTTTCTCCTATATTGTAATCCACCCCTTCCCTAAGTGGCTGAAGTGAATTGAAAGGAAATATTGAAGCAAGCTGCTTATTCTGGCACGGGGCTGTGTGGGCTTCCTTGAGCCCCACGCCACACAAAGGTGAGCGCTGCTCTGCAGGGACCGGGTGGTCCCGGGGGGACCCTGCACGGGAGCTGCCATATCCCTCCATTGTGATTACCCTTCGAAAATAGTCTTGTGCTTTACAAAAAGCCCAAAACACAATAGTGTGACTCAGCAGTTTGGATCTGCAGGCCACCAATCCAGCTCTGTAAAGGTGCCGCTGCTTGTGTCTGAGAAAGGGGTGATTCCAGTGCTGCCTGGTTTTGAACATCTCTTCTCAGCCTTCAGCAAAGGACTCTCATGCCAGTGCTGCCGGATGTCCTTGGGCAAACATATCAGCCAGAGTGAGACCCTGAAGTAATAGGTGTTGAAGGAATACACACATAGAAATAAAACCATTGTCAAACCCACCCTGTGATTCTGGGAGGCCAGTGAGCATCTTGGACTGGATACTTAAAGTCATTAGGCAGGCAGAGGAGGTGTAGCTATCTCAGCTTCTCTGTCAGCAAAGTAGGTCAGACACAGGCTTTTCTGCTTCTCTCTGTTACAATAACAATACTATTTGTTAAGTCCTTTGGCCCCCAGCACCACAGTGGAGAGTTACTAGTGTTACTGGCTGTAGCTGCTAGCTGTAGTTGGTGCTTTCTGTTGTCAGTCAGTGGTCCCTTTCCTTGGCAGGAGAGAGTAAAAGAAAGAGAAATGAAAAATGAGACTAGGTGGTAGAAAGCAAAAGGACTGGTGGAACAGCAAAAGAAATGAGATGAAGAAAAGACAAGAGGGGAGACAGGATCAGCAAACATGAAGTAGAGACATGGGAAAGACAAAATAGCAGGAAACTATAATGAAAGAGAAGGAAAGGGAGAAAAAATTATGATAGCAGATTTAATCAGAAATAATCCTTCTGGCTAGTCCTCTGGGAAGGGCAGCAATGAGTCAGGTCAGGTGGGAGGCTGTGCAGTGACAGTGGGGAAATCAGGGTACTTCCCCAAGGGGGAACAAGCCAACCCCAAGTCATAAACACAGAGAGGCAGGGCACTGTCTGACCATTGACTTACAGCTCCCCAGTGCCCCAAGCGTTAGAGCCACTAACAGGGGAGACCAACAGCTCTCAGCCAGCTGACTGGCTCTGCTTGACCTGGCTTCTTTGCCCTCCTTCCCCTTCTGCTATTCCTCTGAATCCAGCAGTTAGCCTGCTGTCTATGTGAAACCCTCATGAAAGCTTCAATTGCCCAAGTCTGTGGGTACCTGATCAGCTTTCAACCTCCCTATTTTGGTTTCTCCAGTGTTTTCCTCCTAAATTTCCTCTAACCTGAAATTCTAAGCAAGATTTTAAGTTGTGTGGCAATGCTCAGGCAGGACTCTTGTACCCAAGGCAGACATGGACATTTGAAAAGATGGCCATTCAGGGTTTGATACTTTCCAATAAAGTGGTTCTTTGACACAAAGTGTTATATTTATTCAATTGCAGATTGCTCTTTCCATGGATTTTTTTTTTTTTAAAGCCATTGTGTTTGTCTCTCATAAGACAAGGGGATACAACTCTTGCACTTTACTGGGTTTTTTGTTCCAGACTGCTTCATTTTCAGTGAACAACCCTCCAATTTTTCTTTTCACAAAAATGGATCATTTAAATAATTGGAAGCAAATAATGAAAACCGGTCCAGAGAGTTTCATGTTCTGAGTTTCCCACATGTCAATCTGCTCTGCCTCTGTATGCCCTCAGCATGGGGCAGGGAGGAAGGACGGCAGTTTGGAGGAAGACAGCATCTCTTTAACTGAATGGACAAAAATACTACTTGCCACCTGCTGGCACCTTTTGAAGGAACTCAGTATGCTTTCCACCACAGTATTGTCCATACCATACACCTGTAAAACCTGAAGCATAAGCCAAGTGAGTGGCTTCCACTGCAGCACTGTGCCTCTGGCAGAGCTGAAATGTCAGTATCACCTCCTGATTTCCCTGCCCTCTGCAGCTCTGTCAGTCCTGGCAGTGGATTTTCATGAGGGGGCCATAAAAATGAACCAGATATTGTGAGAAAGAAACATCAAACACCTCTCCAGATTTAAGGAAAGACTTTACTGTAGTTTTGTAACAGGATCTCATCTATCTCTTTAATAAGTAAAGAATTTGGGTGACACAAGACCTTCTTGTCTCCAGTGGAGGACATTTTTTCCCCAGGGAACCTGAAGCTCAGTTATTAAAAATGAAAATCTGTCTCAGCCTTTCAACTCAGTTATTGGAAACACCAGCTTTTAAAAGGGGAGAATTAAAAAAGAGGCAAACCGAGGGACCCTTTCCAGATAAAGATTCCCTGTGATCTTGGTACCAGGACGGCTGCATCTGCCTGCAAAGAGGAGAAGAGGTGAGCTATGATGCTTGTTACATATCACACAGAAAATGCTGCATTTCCTCTTAGGTGCTGCCTACCTGGAGCGCTGAGCTGTACATTCACAACTCAAACCCAAAGAAAACCCTCTTCCCAAAACCGCCTGGTGCAGCTCCCAGGCTGGTGTGGGGAACAGGTTTTCATGAGCATTAGAGATGCTGTGATGAGCTGGTGAATCGTTAGTTACAAACATTCCTTCAGGAAAATCATAAGGCATCCTGTTTTGCCAAATTGCTTTCAGACTTGTTTTCAGGTTTTGAGATTTGTCAGAAAGTTGTTTGTTTTTTTCATACCTAAACTGTAAAAGCCTGTCCATTCTAGTTTTACTGGAATTTGGAGATGATTTGCCACTGGATTCACTGGGAGAAGAATAAGGTCCTCAGTTTTATATTAGTCCTCATACATAAACGTTAAAAAATATTAATTTACGATGAATACAGTGAAAATAAAAGGTCAAGGAAGAAAAGGACATTTTTGTACAGAAAGTGGATTTTTTTTTAATGCGTTTGTAGCAACCTTTAACTTTTGTGTTTTATAAAAAATCTTCTAATACAAGGAGAGTTCAATATTATCATTATCCAAAGACAATAAAGACAAAGATCAAAAAGTACTTTAAGAATATTCTGTGGGTGGTAAAACAGAAGACAGAGATCTACATATGAAAATAGAGAGCCTGAATTTACAAAGAAAGGTGTCCCCAGCCAGACATTCTGCTCAAAAGTATTCTGAGCTGACTGAATATTCAACATCCTGCAAGCCCTTTATGAAACTGATATGAAAACCTGGAATTGGAAGAAAAAGAATAAGGATTTTTTTATATTATTCTGGGTTTTAATATTCACCTTTTTTTTAAATATATTTTTAATAAACAGATAACAATGTGAAACACTCAGCAGCTTCTAGCACTAGCTGTTCTTTTAACTACTGGCAGAATTAAGCAATTTTGGTGTTATGCCCACTTTTACTTTCTAGCTTCAGTTTAAATTTCATTGCACCTAGGACTTCCTGCTCCACTGTGAACACACCCTGAACAGTCCTGCACTGCAACAGAAAACATAAAACACTCAGCATTAGGGGTCAAGTTTCTCTGCTTTATCTACACATTCAGGATAGCTGAGCTCTATTTCTTTCACCATTTTCTATCCAAACCTGAACATTTTTGAGGTCAAACCTCTAGAAGTAATGCTGACCATTTACCAAAATAAATGCAATACTCTCTGCTGGTTCTAGCCAAAGGTCCAGGTAGTCCAGTGTGCAGTCTTTGGCAGTTATCTGCCAAAATGCATGATGCACAAATATGACGTTCATCTTCGCTAAGGTGGGAACAGTAATACATCTGCGTTCTACTAGGACCACTTGCAGTGTGCTTTGTTAGGACCCAGTTCAGCAAGGGCTTCTCTATTTTATGTCCTGTGAGTAGCACTGACAATAATGAAAAAGCTGTCTGGACATGGTCCTGAGCAACCAGCTGAAGTAGGTGTCTGCTTGAGCAGAGGGGTTGGACAGGATGACCTCTGGAGGTCCCTTCCAGCCTCAGCTGCTCTGTGGTTCTGTGATAACAGAGCTCCAGAATCAAACAGACTCATTAAGGCAGGGAGCCCTTGCAGTCAGGGAAGAGTGTGGTGTCAAGCCCCAAGGTTATACATCAACCAGCTGTGACATTTAACAGCACTATAACTTTTCCTGCAATACAGACAGAAAGACTCAACTCTGCCCGGTGCTGAGTATATCTGGTGAGTCTTGGGTATCTTCATTACCCATTACCAATCACCTTCAAAAAAGTTCTTGGTATTCTAGAGTCGAATCTTATCTGTCTGAAGTCAGATTTCCTTTGCCTTTGGCAAGAAATGGATCAGGCCTTTTCAGAATGAGGCTGCAGCTTTGTAAAAATTATAGACAGATTTCACTTTAGCATGTAGCACAGCCCCCTTATGAAATCCAAGTAACAAACACGTTAGGAAGTTTATGCTGCAGGAATACAAGAGGGGAAGATGAGAGAGGAAGAAGGAAACTCATACGAGAGAGATGGGACAAAGTAGAATACGGGAAAGAAGAGAATCAGGAGGAAAAGATGGGCAATGGAAGAAACACAGAGATGCAAACAAATGGGGGGATTGGTCTCTTTTTTTAACAAAAGGAAGAGAAATCTTCATGGGAACTTCCCCCTAAATCATTAGCATGCTTTTTGAAAGAAGAGGAAAGAGAGGAAAAGAGAAAGAGGGAAAAGGGTGTAGAGTAAGGGAGAGAGAGAGAAAGGAAGAGTGGAAGGAGGAGAGAGACAGAAAGGAAGAGGGAAATGAAGAAAAGAAAGGAGGAAAAGAAGGAAGAAAGGAAGAAAAGGCAGGGAGCAAAAATCAGGGTGATTTCAGCATACAAGAGCATATTTAGTGATATACAGAGATGTGCACACCTGAAAATGCAAAGTCCTGCCTTCAGCATTTGTGGTAAGAGTCAAGTGCAGCACCATGAGAGCGTATGAAGCATTTTCCAGGCAATGCACTATCTGGGGAGAAAAAGAGTGTTTCAATTTTGGTTTCAGAAATGTGAAAAGGAAAAACCCTGGAAAGATGCCTTAAAATCTGCTCCTTTCAGAAGAAAACCCTGACAGCAGCATCTTCTCACTATTACTTATAATCAGCAAGTGATCCTGCTCTCAAACACACCTTTCAAAATGTGCAACACTCTCTCTTACCAGCACTGGGTGCCGAACCTAATGAGCCCTTCCATCAGGACAGAGGCCAGCCTTCTCAAAGAGGTTGGCTCACATGAGGAATGCACAAGGATGGTCAAAGCCTGAAATTCAAGCTGGGCTTTTCCTGCCTCACACAACACAAAATGTGGCAGAACACAATAAATTTGTTATGTGTCAGGGCAGAAGACATAATTTTCCACTTCTCAGCACTCAGATTGAACCCCTGAAAAATCATCCCATTGACCAAATGTTCTTAAGATAACAAAATAAACAGAATCAACCCCAAAAGATTTTCCTTGTTCATCCTTTGCTTTATGATCCATGAGGCTACCCTTAATTTTCCTATTCTAACCATGAGAGCTAGAAAAATAGAAAAATAAAAACAAAAACTGAGTTCATGAAACAAGACTACCCCTGCCAAAGTCAAGTTGGCCCTGGGTGAGTTTCAGAGCCCACCCAGGCAGAGCCGCTTGCAAGACCCATGCCCAAGATCACAATGTACTCTACAATTACAGTGCAATGCTGACAATAGCATTTTGTCAGTAAAATAAGATGAAATAGTGCTGAAGACACATAAGGGATATGGGAGGGAGCTAGCTAAATAAAAGAAGCAATTTTGTTCACTAGTCTTTTGAGTAATAGAGCAGGCTGACAGAAGGGTTAGAGGATGGCACAGTATTTCCCTCCACAGATGTCACAGGGACACTCCTGCACGCGATTTAAGATCAATCTCTTGAATCAAAATGCCACCATGTACACTAATGAGCAAAAACTCAGGCAGTGTCCGTCCCTGGGGCTTCTGCTCCCAGGTAAGAAGCTTGTCTCCATGCTATTGTAGAAACTCTCTTGGCAGAGTGCAGTGAGGTTGGTGGTATAACTTGCCCCCAGTTCACAAATTTCCATTTCAGACTTGCTGTCTCTGTCTTGGTTTCGGTCTATTTACTCGGAGCCATTTCTTAACAATGTCTAATTTCCTCAAGGAATCCCTCTGAGTCCCCTCTCTTAGAAATGCTGCCATATCTTTTTTTTTAATCACTGAAAGGCACAAATATCCTTCCTGAGCTCTCTTACCATCCAGCCTGATTATATACATAGATTTCAGTTTCCATACATTTTCTACACAGTAGGAGTTCCCAAAATGCAGCCTCTGGGGATATAAAGTGTGGCCCCAACTGCAGCTCAGTGAGATGAAAACAAAGCCGATCAGGTACTGTTTTTACTGTTAATGAGCCTAACCAGCAGGCAGTTATTACTCAGTCTGGAAGACATAAGTGGTTGGACCCATAGCACATTCATTTTTTATTTATAGTGATGCACGCTGAAATTAGAAGTATCCCTCCAGCAGCTGGCATTTTGCCAGGGCCTGACCAGCAGTATGATAAAATGTGAACATCTTGGAGATACGGAATGCCTTTTTGTTGCCCTTTTCTTTTTTTTTTTGATAGCATTCTTCTCCCCTCTTATTGCAACTCCCTCGAATATTAGAAGTGGACAATGAGGCTTAATTAATTTAGGATCCCAGCCCTTACTGAAAATGAAAGAAATTAGTCCTTTTTCTTTTCACTTGGTGAAGTACAACTCAAACATGAGCTGATCTCATAATAAAGCAAAGGCTCAAGCCTTCTGGCAAATAAAGGAGTAAAAATGAACCCTTGGACAAGAAACAAAAAGAAATGGGTTCTCGGAGAGGATGCATGTTATTATCTTGTTAATCTATTAATGACAACTGTAAATACCTCACCCAAAATCACAGCGACTCTGAAGCATTCACTGGAGAGACTCACAAAGCCTGGTCAGCAGAATGCCACCTCAGGAACCTGCAGTAATTTGCCTCACCTTCCTAGTAAATCGGTTTCCAATCTAACCCCTCCTGAGTTAAAGTTACAAACCTCAATAACTGTGTGGCAGACTTGACAGCAATTAACATTACTTAGCTGCCAGCTGGATTTTAAAATCTCCCTTCCAAGTGATCTTGTTACATTGGTTTTAAGAGCAGCCTGCCAGGGTGCTGTGCTGAGGAGCTGGTCTGGCCTCTCAGAACTCAGTGGTATTATGCTGCTGGCTTCAGGGGGAAGCTGATAAATCAGTGACAGAGTAAGGGTAAAAGGCATTGAGCTGTTGTTCAGAGTGTGAGGCTTGGGGTTTTGTTTTGGGGTTGGGTTTTTTGTTATTGTTTATTTTGGTTTAGATTTTTTTTTGGGGGGGAGAGGTTCTTAATCTTCTTAGCGTTGGGGCATCACAGAAAGTGCTGTTGAGAATTTTCACTTATTACCCTAGTTCTTTAGTCCTGTGCATTACTCACGCACAGGAAGGAACACAGTATGCTGCAAAGCATTCCTTAATCCCTCATACCTCGATTTGCAAACTTAGAAAGTTCTCTTTGACTTTTAAAGTAATTTTAAAAGCCAATAAATAAGAGTTCTGCTGAAAAATAACTTGCTGAACTCAAACTCCCATCAGTTCTAACCCCAGCCCAGCTGCGCCGGTAGCTCAGCGCTTGGCTTGTGATGATCGATGGAGAATCAGGATCTACCCTATCCTGGCACTGGGACTCGTGAAAATTGACAAAGACGTTTGCTGCCCCTCTGCTCCCACCTGGAACAGGACGGAGCAAGGCTGCTCTCCCCCTGACGCAGCCCTGTCTCTGGGCCGCAGGCTGGGCCTTCTCCTACGCCTCCTTCCGCTCCTGGCACCGACGAGGAGAACGGCGTACCCGGGGTTCCCACAGCGGGGTGCTCGCCGCTGGGGTGACGCACGACGGGGTCTGCCCCTTGCTCACCGCTCGCCTCAGCCGGGCAGGGCAGGGCGAGCCTCCCGCGCGGCGTCGGTTGCCCCCCGCGGCGTGCCCGCCCCTCAGCGCCCATTGGCCGGCGGGCGGAGGCGGGGCGCGGCTCGGCGGGGGCGTGGCCGCCGTCAGCTGTTCGCGGTCCGCCCGGCGGCGGTGGCGGCAGTTCGGCGGTTGGAGACGCGGCGGCGGCGGCGGTGGTGGCGGCGGCTCCTCCTGGGACGCCTGTTCCGCTTCTCGGTGAGTGTCCGGGACGCTCTTTCGCCACTCGGGGCCGGCCCCTCAGGAGGCAGATCTCCGGTCAGTGGAGGCACCAAGGCTGAGCACGATCGTGACAGGGAAGGCGATTGCCCCCGGCGTAGTCCCGGCCCGGGCGGGAGGTGTAAAGCAAGTTCTGTAGGGGGTCCCGCAGCGTCCCGGGGAGCGAGCAGAAGTGGGGTGCGGGCGGGCTGGTAATGAGCCCGGTGGACACAGAGAAGGCAGCGATTCGCTGGTGTAGGCAGTGGGTAATCACCGGTGCCAGTACCAGCCGTCCCGCCGGGCGCGGGTGTCCCGAAGGAGCCGCGTTTAACCCCGTCGGTTGGGAGTGAATCCGTGTGGCTGGGTCCCGGGAGGGGAAGAGTTAAGAGCAGTTGGCGGTGCCGGAGCGCGGCCGGCCAGCTTTGTTTTGGGAAGCTGGCACGCACGTGCGCGCTGAGCCCTCCCCCCGGCTCCCCGCACCAGCCTGTCAGCGGCTCGGCTCCGCGCGCAGCCCCGGGCTGGGGGTTCGGCTGCGAGCTCCCGTGTCGGTGCGGCAGGGCCCGAGCTCCCCGGTGCCGCTGCCCGCGGGCGCGGCGGATCCCGACGAGCGGCGCAAAGAATCGGACCGTGTTGAGGGGGGTCGAGCAAAACCTGTTGCTCTCTAACCCCTCTTCTGCTGGGGTTCGGGCTGCCCCGGGTAGCTCGGTGTCCTTGTCGCACTTCCTTGCCAGTGTCCCAGCGGGGCTCTGCCGGATGAGCCCTGGCAAGGCTTACTGAAAAGACAAAACACGTTCTCGCCCTGCCTCTCTCTCAGGTGACCGCGGTCCAGCAGCAGAGCTGGCAGGAGCTCATCGCTGCTGTGCCCAAAGGCCCGTAATTCCTTTCGGTGTGCTACTTTAAGCTATGGATGAGTATCTTACGAGTGCTGCGCCAAGACAGTTCTGCTGTCACCCGGGAGAGCCAGGCCAGCTGTGGGCTGGTACCTGTTCTGCTCTACAAACCCCTCTTTGGGGGTTGTAGCTGAGCTGAGTGAACCGCTGAGATGTCACAACATGCACATAACCACAGTGCCCCCGAGTTACACCCTGCACACATCGTTCTTGCACTGCTCAGTCCCTTTGTCTCCTCTAGCGAGCTGGTGTTGTAAGTGCTGCTCACCTGGGGGGAAATGGGAGTACCAAGGGGAGCACTGAACACAGCCTTATGAAATTATTATTAATGTCTCCTTTAGGCCTGAAATTCCTCTTGCTAGTCTTCCGTTCTGTTAAATGCTTCGCAAACCAGAGCAAAGGAAGAGACAAGAAGAGTTGAATTTCACTGCCTTGTTTGGAACTGGGTGGAAATCCTGGAGATGGATCTCTTAGGAGTCTGTCTTCCAATTGGGTTAGATGCACAGGTAACAGTAAAGGGACTTGAAGCATTTTTGGTAAATCTGCTTCTAATCGGCATATGTTTGCAAAGAGCTCTGAAATAGTGATTTAGGACTTACCTTTTTTTCTCCTCAGCCATCTTTGTTCAGCTTTGTGCTGCAGCAGAGCTCAGGAGTGTTTGCTGTGGCAACTACAGGACTAAGAAGTCCTCCTTTAAACACTGACACCAGCAGTGCTTTTTCATTAGTAGTAAGGGGAACTAATGCACTGACAGTGCATGTAAGCTTGAGGGTAAGAGGGGTAATGAAGTGACTGCCTTTCCAGGTTTGGGACATGTCTTAAGTTGAGCTAAGGGAAGAAATGAGAAGTTGAAAGTTGGCCCTTTTAGTGAGAAGTTATGGAAAGCTTCACAGAAATGGCTTTGCCAGCTCTCGAGTTTTGTAACCACTGGGGTTTCTTAAAAATCTGGCCTTGCAGTCTTGAGATTACAAGAGCCTTTCTTCATCAGTAAGTGATATATGGGGAAAAAAGTGAATGGGGCATACTATAAAGTTCAAATATGGAAGCAAAGCAGACCCAAAGAAACTATATGGCTATGGGGCAATTTGAAGGGTTGGGTTTACTTTTTAAGACAATGTTTTTTGAGTTTCTATGTGCTGAAGTTGGAGGTTGGCTCCCTCCCTGTGACCAGTTGTTGGGTTGGAGCTGTGGGTGGACTCTCAGACACGTGAACTTTCTCTCTGGGCTGGCACTTGAAACAAAGTCCTGACCTTCACCACTTGCCTCTCCTGCCCATGCAAATGGGCAGCACTGGGAGGGAGAGAGCCAGGCAGGCAAGGAAAAAAAAAGCTGTGTTTTGTTGCTGGAGCAGAAGGCATTCTATCACTGACAACATTCTTGTGTCTCAGCTGTTTCTTCAAATGTCCCTTTATTGCAGGAGCAATGGATCGCCCCAGCTACCTGGAAGAGGATTATTCTAGCCTGGATGGGCTGGACGATGACGTGTTTCACTCTGATGACTTTGGACTTGCAGGTCAGCCTGGTGAGATGACTGCAACTGGCATTTTCACACAGAACCAGTCCTACAGCTGTCTTCTGGGGAGGTTTCAACTATTCCCCCTCACACACTGCTGTGGTCCCGGTATCAGGCATCCTGAGCAGCAGGACAAGGCAACTCAAACACTCAGCCCGTCCTCTTCCAGTCAGGATGTTATGTTGCCTTGTGGAGTCACTGAAGAGCCCCGGAGACTCTTCTATGGTAAGAGCACTCCAGTGTCACCACCTTTGCAGCAAGGAAACTGTCCCTCTAGAACTTCCCCAATCAAGCAAGGTTTCTTTCATTAGGGCATTTTATTAAAGGACTGAAATGATTTTGCTTTGGTCCTACTCCCTCAGGAAAGATAACTTGTATTTTCTTACCCTTGCTTGTCCACTGCAGGAATCAGGCACTTGCTCTTTGCTTCTGCTGTCTTCAATATTCCCACTCTTGTTCTTTATGGCTTTACTCTGTCATGTTTTATGTTATTGCTAGATGTTTAAGTGCTTGTATCCTACAATTTGCCTACATTTTTTAACTTCTAGTGGTCTCATCCACATAGGGAGACTAAGAAGTTTTCACTAGAGAGAATGAAATACAAAAATTTACACTTAGCAGGACAGCTTTTAGGCTCTTTATTGGAGTTAAGTTGTTGGACAAGTAGCACATCCATCCAGTATTTCACTAGTAACTGATGGGATACCACACCACTCTGTGTATCTGATTCAGCTTTAATTCAAATCAGTCTCACTAAATGCCAGAGAACTGAGAAAAGTCTGGCAGAAAAGATACAGCAACCTTTAATGGGAGACAACTTGTGGCACAGATCTCGTAAAACTGCAGAATTGTCATAAAAAAATTGTCAATTGTCATAATTGTCACTTGACTGAACTATAAACAAGCAAATGGAACCAAGTGTAAGAGCCTGCCAGTCATTTGATTATGGGAAGCAACACAATGCTCTGCTTAATCAATACAAATCTTTACTGCATGCTTATGGTACACAGTTATTGGGCTTCAGGAATTGGACTTCAGCGTGACTCGAAAATTTAGGATTATGTGCAGCTCTTCCCTCTGTAAAGTGTACGGAGTAGAAAGACTATTCTTTGAGCTGGAAGAATGACTCTTCTGACATCTGTTTTGTAGGGAATGCTGGTTACCGTTTACACATCCCTCCAGCTGACTTTGTGTTGGATCCGCACCTCCAAGAGGAGCCTCAGGAAGGTCAGCGGGAAGCGCGTGCCGAGGTGCAGATTGCACGGAAGTTGCAGTGCATTGCTGACCAGTTCCACCGGCTCCACATACAGAGGGTAGGGTGTCTCTGCAGGGGTAGGTGGGGGGTAGCTACCCAGGAGCTCTGCTCTAGAAGACTTGCTCCAGGCATCAGCTAAGCAAGGCTGTTGTCTAAGGCAGCAGACTGACAGCAGTGATGGAATGGCAGCAGTATCCTGATGGATTTTGCTTATGCTAGATTGCTGGCTCATCTTAAAGATAGCAGGTGGAGGGAAGAGAATGTGTGGGATTGTATTTACTGCCTGGGAAGATAGCTGTTCTGCATTAGCTGCTGCTATTCCAGCTCTTTCAGCTCATCTGCAACAGGGTCACTGAGGCTTTCCCCATGGATCTCCCCCTTGCTTCTTATTACAGCTTTTACTCTTCTTCTCCACTGTCCTCACCACCAGCATCCCCTCTTCTGTGGCCCAATTGGCCATCTGTGACTAATATCAGCTCCTCATCTTGAAGATGACAACAAGCCTGGAGTCTTTTTTGACACTCCTTGTCATCTAGGGGTAGTTCTCTTGTAGTGTATATTTAGATCGTGGTAGACTTGCTAGCAGCTCCTCTGTCAGACTGTCCTAGCTAGTGCCTCAGACTTGTGACTAACTTCTTCACAATAAAAGACAGCTGTCATATGCCATCAGGTCTGAAAACCGCACTCTAGAATCTTGATTTGTTTTCTTAGGGAAAAAAAAAAAAGCAAACCCGGCTCTTCAAAGAAACAAAGCAAAACCAGCATCCCTAAATCCCTTGATGCTTTCTGCCTTGCCCTCCTTCCCCTGCTGAGTTGAGGTGGAAATCCCAGGTCATGCAGTTTGTCAGAGTGGGAGGTTTGGCAGTAGGCAGAACTTTGCCACTTCAATGCAAGGCCAGCAAGGAGAACGTGTATCTGTTTGCATATGAAGAAGCGGACACTTCATGACTTTAGAGAGGGGCAGAAGGCTTATCTCACCCCAAGTGAGCTGGTGCTCCGTTAACTGTGGGATCTGTTGCAATTCTCCTCAAGGTAAGTGAGGATCTCTGTCCTGGTCAGAAAATGTGGCTTGTGGCTGTGCAAAGGTTTGGTCCTCGCTGTGCCATCAGAGAGAGGAGGGAGTTCTGGAACTCTTCATCTCCGAATAGCAGGAGGATTAAAGCAGCTGTAACAGGAAGGTTAGCCTGTGGAAATGCAGATGGAGCCATGAATGTCATTTACCAAATTGCAGGAGTAACAAGCTACCGCGAGATCTTTAACATACGCTGTGTGGCTGGCTGCGTGGGGTTTTCCCCAGTGCTACCTTCTCACCAGAGATAGCTGCAGACCCCCCTCTCCCTCGCCAGGTTCTCGCTGGACAGGGCAGGTGAAACCATCTCGGTGAGGAGCCCTTGGCGTGAAGTGGTGGAACTGGTTGTAACGTGAGCTGTCACCTCGGGGGAGTGTACCTATCTGATCTCTGTGCCGTGGAGACCCATCCAGCAATACCCACCCAACCCGGCCCCGCTGAAGCTGGACCGGGCGGGCTGCCCGCGGCGGGTGCAGGCCAGCCAGGCGTGCGGCCGCGTAGTAAACAAAAGCGTCCGCTGCCGGCCAGCATGGGAGGAGTTCTGCTGCCTTTGTTTGAACTGGAAGAGCAACAAGTTGTAAAGGGGGGGGGGGGGGGGGGGGACCCCGCTGAGCCATTTAAATTTGAAAACAAAACAGAAAAAAAAAAACCCAACCCCAACCCGAAAACTTAACCCCAGGACAGAGCAGTTCAGCCAGTGGTTCTCCACAGCCTGACCCTGGGATAGGCCTTGGCATTTGGATTTGTTAAGGGATTCTTTCTTGTTTGTCAGGAAAACTGAGTACTGAGCCACATACTAGTGTCCAAAGCACTGTTACCCGTGGAGTGTTTTATTGTATGCCCAATCCCTTCCCTCCCAGCCCTGCATGAAGGATTTTCTTTGGCTTTTGGCACAGATCTGTGCAGGAGCCCCTCTGTCCTATGTGCAGTGACTCTTCCCAGCCTGTTGCTGCAGAGCAAGCAGCCTGCCTCTGGAGACATGAGAACTGGTTCACAATGTGTTGTGGTTTGAAAGGGGCAGTCTCTGGGACAAGGAAAACTGGGCTGTCATTTATCTTGCTGTGAAACTAATCCCTGATTTGGATGTCCCATTCCAGCTCATCTCAAACATTTGGTCAAAACCAACTTTCCAGAGTGGTGTCTTCAATCAGATTTAGAATACCGCAAAGTTAGTCACACCAATGTGGTCTTGTGAGGTCCTGAGAGAGAGCAAGCCTGGTTTTCAACAAGCTGTGCCTCTTTTTGGAGCCTAAAAAACATCTTATCTGTGAACGTGTGGAAAGAAAACAAGTGTGCCCTTTCAGTGCTAGTTAGGAAAAGCTTTCAGCATTGGAGTAATGCATCCAGCTAGCCCAAGAGTTGCCCTCTTATGGCTCTTGAGGTCTGTGAGACTGAGGCAGTTCAGGTACGGCTCCTGTTCTGCTGCCATAGCAGCAAGGCTGTGTTGACACAAAGGCTGCTGGTTAATGTACATCCCTGGCAGAGAGGAACTGAGCAGGCAATAGCTGCTGGGGTTGACATCACTAAGTTGTCACTGGACTCAGCCGCATGCACAGTGTAACCCCAGCCCACACTGGGAACCCTGGAGAGTCACTGTTATCTCTTCCCTGGGATCCTGAAGCTATATGGTATTATTCTGCAGTTCTTGGCTATACAAAAGATTTCTGGGTATGCATCTCATAAGAATAAGAGAGTTGGCAGCACCTATGCTTGCTTTTGGCATGTACATAATTTTCAGGGTTTCATTTCCCATTAATATATTAAACAGAACACAGTAGTTTAAAACCTGGCTTTTTCATCTTAAGATGCTGAATTTGTGATAGAAAGGACTTGAGCAACACTTTGTGTTCCTAAGTAGCAGAGCCCGCTACAGGTTGATCCAGTTTGCAAAGGGCTCTGCAGAATGACATGCAAGAACCATTTATGTCTTCTTGAGCTCTTTAGTACCTCTTACGTGTCTGAGGCTGTGCAGCTTCTGGCAGTGTTCCCTCTGTTGTGCTTTTCGCACGCTGCCCTGGAAAACAAAGGTAGAGCCAAGACATGCTTTCTGCAGGAGAACCTAGTACCTGTCTGCTCCTTCTTGGTTTGGAGCAAGTGTGCCTTTGTTGTGGGATCTGTGAACTGCTTGCCTGTGGCTGAGCTTAAAGAGTGCATTCTGAGATTATGGAGAACAGAGCTGAGTTTAGGGATCTGCTGGTCAGTTGGCTGCGATGCACTGCCTGTGCCACACTAGCTGTGGCAACAAGTGCCTGGGCTGTGCTTCAGGTCCAAGTACACTTGAGTTTTCTTGCCTTGACAAGGGGCTTCAACCTGTGCTGGGCTGATAGTGTTTTTTGCAGCATGATATGCTGCTAGATGGGATGTAAGCAGACAACCAGGGACGGCAGCAGCAGCGTAAAGCCGCCCCATAGGAGCACGAGGTTATACAAGAGTGGGGTGGATGACACTATATCAGAATCACACCCCTTCAATCTGACTTGCTCCATTGAGACACTGGAATGCTACAGCTTTTTCCAAATAAAATAACTCTTTCTAAGCAGGCTGCAGTTTTGAGGGGACTGCTTTTATCACATCTCTTCTTCGTGGTGATAAGATCACTTCACAGGGGATAAAATTGTCTCTTTAAGAGCCAAGGAGTGGTAGCCTTGAACAGTTCTGGGCTCTGGTCCAAGCAGAGCCACTGACTTGCTGTATGACCTCAGACAAGTCTCTTGACCTCCTTGTGCTTCAGTCAACCCATCTGGAAAGCTTGGTTTAAAAAAAGCTGAGCCTCAATGAGAACCAGATGCTGAATCAGAGCTGAGCTTTCTTGAGTAAATAAGTGCATTACAAACAACAACAAAGCCCCTTTCCAACACATCAAGAATCCTGCAGTTGATTTAGTTATGCTGACCATGCTCAAAAATCCTGTGTGGATCTAGCGCTAGAAAACTTTGCTTCTCCAAATTCCCCAATTGATTCAGCAAGTAACTCTCTTGCTGTCACTGCTATGAGCTCAAGCAGTCTGTGGAGATGAATGCCCGCATCCACACAGGCTGTGAACAGTGAGGCATGTACCTGTTTGCCCCAAGTTAATGACACTGAAAATGTCCAGGAGGAAATGTTGTTTTCCTTTGAAAGTGAAACTTGATAACGTTTTGCATACTTTTTCCCCTTTGTCTCTCATGAGAGTTATTGGGGCCTCCTCTGAGACACTTCTGCTTATGCAACGGGGAGCCCATGTCACTTGTCAGAAACCTAGTGGTGTGAGAGACTGGGTGCACAGTGCTATGTGTCTATCATTTATTCCAAACTCCATCAGGCTTTTCTCCATCATTTATTGAGGACACTCAGGGAATTTTAAACTTTTTTAAACTGTAATTGTTTTCTGGAAACTGTCCTTTATGATGACTTTGCATTTTAGGAAGAGTGTTCAGAAAAGCTTCCTAATAATGTAATGCTCTCAAACTGTCCTGCAGTTGAGCCTGTAGTACCAGCAGCTCCATACTTTACTTGTATCTGCAGTCTCTTTGAGACTTGTGGTAAGTGCTTTCATTTTTTTCCCAAGTAGCTCAGTACGTTTCAGGATCTTCTCTGCTGCTAGCTAATGCTTGCTGGCCCGTGCTGCTGTGGCTGTGGAAAGTAGTGGGTCACCTCTTCAGTTCTGCTGTCTATGGGTTGCCCATCAGTGCAGGACTTGAATTACCGGCTGAGGATGCAGGAGCATGGTGAGGGAGAGTACCGGACAGAGAACTGCTGACATGAACAAGCCCAGTTTGGAGGGCAGGGGTTAAGTTGGGTATGAGGTTGAGAAGATTGAAATGTAAAGCAAAGTTCTTGCAGGGACATGGAATTGGGATCCTAGGCTTGAAGAAAGGAGTGTGCCATAGGGGGAAGAGGAATTCTCACAGTTAGTGGAGATGTGGAGACAGATTGGTTTGGGCTTGTTTGTGGTTTTTTGCTTAATAATATTGTTAGTTGGTTGGTTTTTTGTTTGTTTGTTTGTTTTT